TCTTTGTAATTTCTTTTCTGATTCAGCTAATTTTATACTTTTCAGCTTTTAAGATGAGTTTGTTTCTGCCATTTTACTGCCAAATGATTCTACCCTACAAAATCTTCAGATGATTCAACTGTTTTCTGCAGTTTGAAGTTTCTGATGACTTCCTATCACATTTTCATATGTTCTTCAGGTAATTTCAGCTTTTTTCATTCAGCAAAAGCATTCCCACTTGCTGTTTCTCTGAAACAGCTTTTTCTAGTTTTTCTTATTATTGCAAACACATAAAAATCCAAAATGTCTAATGGAAGGTGAATATTAAAAAACTTAAATTCCTCTCAAAAAATAATTTTAATGTATAACTGTTTTCCATATCGTAACCTACGCAATCATGAGGACAGCTACTGAGTTGACAGTCATTGTCATGTCAATATATTGAGTAAAAAACAAACATCAGTGCTCAAGAAGGTGGTTGTTCAGAGTGCTGTATCTGGGAAGATGAAAGGAAGGAAAAAGTATGATTTGGGTTTAAGAATAAAGTCATAAAATGTTTTTTCTGTGTAATAAATCTATATAGATATGATTTTCACTTTCTCAAAAAATGTATTGTATGTTTTTTAAGCAGGAATTCATATGGGAAATAGGCAAACTTCTCAGACTGGCGCTCGCAGGCAGAGGGTCTATTCTGCCGGTCTAGGAAGACGGCGGATCAGTGGAGAAACAGAGGAGGTGGAAGACACTTGGAACTTTACAGGTAGACATACCAAAATTACCTTTATCCATTAGCCAGACTACATCAGTCTTTGTGTTTCTCTCAGGTAGAGACCCTGGTATGGAGAAAACTCTCTAGCACACCACAAAATATCTTATAAATAATTTTTAAAGGAAATCTCCAGTATTTCCAAATTACCTTTGGTTTTGAGAAAATATACACTCAATACAACAACACTGCACATTCTAGTCAAAAGTCTTCTCTCAGATGCAGGTGGATACTGCACCATGGCTCCTGTAACAACAGGAATGTCGTGCAATCGTTCGCAGCGATCTATAGAGAGCAAGTCGATGGAGAGCTTCTTTAGTACCAGGTAAAGCTAACATCCATCTCCCTGTAAAATGTGGAGAATTCCCTATGAAGTTAAAGGATAAAAAAACTGATAAATGAGGAGCCTAAAGGACTGAAGTGCTAATCAGAGCAACATTGTAGTATATCTAAACTTCTCTTTCTTTCTTCTTGTGTTGTTTTTAAAGTAATATTTTTTTATATTCCCAGGTTCCAGCTGGGTAGACTCAGGTCCTCTATTTCTTCAGGAAAGCAAGTTCCCCTTAAGTCTCACTGTTTATCAGCAGAGGCCGACAAACAACCTGAGAGCGAAACTCCAGACTACCAACCCCTGGTGAGGTGAACCTGCATCACTCCAAGCTCCAATATTATCTTCATTTTCACTTATATCACTAATTGTTTTAGCCTATATATGTATATACTGGTTCTTTTTATATTAAAATATATGTTACATGTTAATTTGTTTAATAATTCAATTAAAAAATTCTGAATCAGAGATCAACCAATAAAGGTTTATTTAAGGGTGATACTAATGCAAATTAATTTGACATCAATCTAAATACTGGACGTACAGTCTTGCTGTTTTTTTGGTTGGTATTTTCTTGTAACAGAATATATTTTTTTCTGATAGTACTTGAATAGCATTATCCTTTAATAATTATACATATATTATTGCCAATGAAGCCAATTTCTAAAACATCTAGTTTATTTAGTTGGTCTTTTATTATAAAACCCTTAACCCCAGACTGCTCCCCGGGTGCCACACAATGGCAGTCCACTGCTCCCCAAGGGGATGAGTCAAAATGCAGAGAGTGAATTTTCCTATTTTTGGACAATAATGGGATTTTTCTTTTTTTTTTTTATGCAGGGACTTTTGCAAAAGTAGCGCATATATATCCTGACAAACAAATAATTTTGTATTGGTCTGAACACTGATTTATGGTCCTTCCTTAGGTGCATCTGCAGCTTGCATCTGGAGCTTTTCTACTTACGGAGATCTACTCAGAATGTGTCCAAATTCCTCTTGACCGCCTTAAAAGAGCGTCACCTTACAGCCTTCACCGCCGAAGCCTGAGCCCAGCATTCCGCTGCACTTCTCCCAGCGCTCCCTCTTTATCCACCTCCGCCAAGATGCCAGGTGCTCCCACCATTCACCATGTCACCTTTTCTCCTTCCTCGTGCTCTCTGGCTAAATCGGCTGCTCCTCCCTTCCACCACACTCCAGTCGACAACCCCTTAATTTTGGAGTCAAGGCTTCTGAGAAGACACTTGTCTGATCGAGACCCCGTCACCTCGCCCCCTGATCTCCCAAGTTCTGAGGAGGGCTCCTTAGAGTTGTCAATTGGCAGATCTCAAAGTCAAAGCCTCGGACAAGCAGACAGTGGCCGTGGTTCAGAGACAGACATATGTGAGGGGTCCTCAGCAGAGCCGGCAGACCTCCAGGGCAGCAGCCAGTTGGCTCAAGAGGATTTAGAAGGCTCGACCTGGGCAACCGCGGTGGCTCTGGCGTGGCTGGAGCACCGGTGTGCTGGCTACTTCATGGAATGGGAGCTGGTGGCGGCCAAAGCAGATTTCTGGCTGCGTGGTCAGAGTCTGCCGGAAGGAGTGGACCTTGCAGGGTTGAGAGGAGCAGCCAGACAGCTGTTTCTGCTGCTGCGCCACTGGGATGAAAACATCAAACTCAACATGCTGTGTTATAACCCTAATAACATGTGAGAGAATTGGCTCAAAGGAGCAAAAAAAAAAAAAAACGATTTATTGTAATGTGGAAAAATTAGGACCCTCCATATATATATTATGTCTCATTAAAAAGTATTTTTGTTGGTATTAAGAAACTGTAATTTTTTATTTTTTTCATATCTAAAAAAAAAAACTTACCGGTAAACAAAACGTTGGGTTTTGAGTACGCACTGGCCTTTCTCGTTTCTTACATCAGCACATCCTTGTTTGATATACTGCTTGGCTTTGATGCTGCAAAGACCAGTTCTGCTGCAACTTCAGGCGTTTTAAGAGGTGATCTTACATTTCCTTCAAACATCCATTGACAAAATCAAATGTGAGCTGCTGGTTCCTGCTTGAGCAAAGCGCCCTTAAATCATGACACTTCCACCTCTGTGCTTTACAGTAGGTGTAAGGTTATGTTCCCACAAAATTACGCCAAATAATGTCATCTGTTCTGACATGCAAATAGTTTAAAATAATCTGCTCAAAGAAAATGAACTCCTGTTCCAAGTCCTGTGTTTTTTCTTGGAGAGCAAAAGGAGACCTGTTTGATGAGCTCCCATGGATGTTAATTAGTTTTAAAGCAAAAGCTTGTTGTACTGTAAGTCCCATTGAGGCTTCTAGATATTTTATAGACTGATGATTTTTGGAGAAATCTTTACTTACTTGGACAGCGAGACCTGGGAAAGTGGGTGGAATGTTTTGAATGTTCCCCATCTCTAAACAGTTTTAATTCAGGTCGAAATTATAATTTCAAGCCATTGAATTAAAGAACAGATTCATAGGCTACTATTAGGGACAACTCCTTTATGACGCCTTTTTCCCAGGCTCCACTTGATCTGGCTTTAAATTTCTTTTTCGGTACCAATACCGGCTTGAGCTATTTCACTGCGCACGCTAAAAAATGTACAAACT